AGAGAGGATATTTTGGGGAAAATGGATGTGAAGAGGCAGAAAGCATAGTAGGAAATAGCTGGAAAGGAATGGAGAGGGAGAAAAACAGATGTGGCAGAAGCTGGTATGATCTAGTAAATCAAGTCAGTAACATGTAATAAGAGTATATTAATCACTTACACAGTTGCTGGCTACCAAATAAGTTACCTGTGGAAAGCGCAGATCTTTTTGAGTCTACTTGTTTTTGTAAGTGTGTAGGCAAGAACTTTGGATCATCCAAGGAAGCGGTGTCAATGAAAGTGTAGAATAAATTCTGCAATGTGGATAAATTTACGCTATACTTGTGAGGAAACGCGTTGGTTTCTAGGTGTCTATAGCTTGATGTAATCTGTTTAAAAACAAGCAAAGCAAGTCTCTAGCACTTAGGTTTTTAGTAATCAGCAACAAAAATGAATATGTAACAGCCATATGGTAGTACACACTATTTAATGAGGTTTCATCAATGTTTTTTAATCTGTTATGGCTCTTGTTTTACCAATTTTAGTGCTGATAAGATACTGTTCAGAAGGTATGTTCCAATAAGCTTCAGTCACGTTCCTGAAACAGTGCACTTTTGTGTCATTCTTCACTGTTAATCTAGATGTGGTGGCAGCTTCCACAGACATTTAAGCTTTTAAATTAAAAAAAACCCAACAGATATTTATAAAAATTATGATAGAACAAAGGTCTTTCTAACTTGGTGTTCTGTTTCTAGTGAATGCCTAGAGGGAAATGAAATACTGCAGCTATAGGGTGATATCTCCCCAAATACTATCGCAGTCTCCATAATTTGTGACTTGAGGTTTCCTTAGCCTAGGGCTGTATCTATCTGTGTTTTAAAAAGAAAAACAAAAAGCAGTAGCACAGATTTTAGTGACTTAATCCATAAGGCATGTATTGCATGTGCTTTTGCAGTCCACAGTTTGAAGACAGACTATTTTATTTCAGACTATTTCAGGCATTGCCTATAATTTTAACCATGGCTGAGTTGGTGGCTTTGATAGTTGTTGGATATATTTTTTCAAAAGTTCTAGAAAAAGTTTTTAATTGGTAAAGTATGTGCAAAGTTTCTACAATTATAGTATCTTAATTCAGTACTACATATTTTGCTATAAATACATAGCAGAAGTGGAATGGAATTTATTTTTCAGTAAAGATAAAAGCAGAATTTTAGGAGGAAAAATTGCTGACAACCACAAGTTAAAACAATAGTAGTATTAGCCAGGGATAGAGGAGAGGAGAAAGAAGTACTTGTGCAGACATAGGAGGGAAATAACTGCGCTCTTTTGCCAGATTTCATCTTTGACACCAGTCTTTGGCTAGTGAGTACTTGTTCAAATAGCTGGGAAGGTGGAGTGTTTACCTCCTATTTGGTGCAAGGCAGATGGATGGGGGCGGGTGGTGAGTGTTTGTGTATGTATCCACGTGTGGGCGAAATGGAAAAATGTGGCCTCTGCTTATTTCCTTTTCCCACTTCCATTTAGGTAATACACTCATGTAAATGTTTTAATCATAACATTGATGAGATCTCAAGCTATTCTTTTTTTTTTTCAAGAGAAAAAGAAAAATACATATCTACTGAATCACTCCACTGCAGGAAAATATGAAAACAAAATAAATTGTTCAGGCTGCAGTGGTTCTGTGTGAAATGATTTACGCATTTTTCTGTAACAGATATGTTTAAAAGTCAGTGTTAAATGGCCCTTAACCTGACTTCCATCTGGTATAAGCCAGTGGTGGTACAGGCAAGTGCTGTATGAAACAAGTACAGAAGAAATTCTGACTGGATCCAGGTCTAACAGGTTCTTTCACTCCTTTTTCTTCGTCTGGGATTGATGATCCACATCACCTAAAATGGTCAAAAGGGAGTCAGACCCAAAGTGTCGTAGGTCCTTGAAGGATTTGGTTTTGCTGTCGTCACTCTACACGTGTAATCAATTATGAGCATAATTACATGGGTTTGGAGTCTGTTAATGTGCAGTGCCAAGTTGCATGTTGGCATTTATAGCAATTAAGTATTTTGTACTATTCCCTCAATATTTATGCTTTTCTTCTTGCACAAGAGCCTGGTAGGATTCACAAGGTTGACACAAGAAGTAGGGAATGCCTACTCCTTGCTATCTCAGAGGAAGAGCAGCATTGAAACCTCTTAACAAAATCTCTTCTGCAGGGGTGGCAGAACTCCATCGAGTTTCTGAGGCCCCATCCATGCCAGCTGTCATCAGGGTTCACACCAGCTCCCTCTGGCACGACTAGGCAAAGCCAGGTGTGTGTCTGGCAGCTCATCCTGGTGGGAAAGCCTGGGGTGAAGCCAGGAAGGGCAGAAAGCTGTCTGCCTGGGACTTGTGCAATAGGGCCAGTATTGGCAAGAGGGAGGCTAATGGCATTTGGGGAGAGTAAGGGAGTACTGGAGGGAAGAAAGAGTCTCAGACACTTACGCCAGGGCTGGTTGGAGATACAAATGTTTAAACTGGCACCTTGCCCCAGTGTTAGCCAAAAGGTGCCTAACCTTGTTAAATCTCTCAGCAGGAGTTCAGACCCAAGGGCTGTACAGGCTGTGGAGCGCACGATAAGCCAGACATGTACAATAGAGAATGATGTGAAAGCAGTTAACAGGAATGTTTTCTTTTATAAATTGTATTTTTATTGGACAGCTTTTTAGTTTTTGTCATCAAAGCTTGACTAAATGCTTCTCTCTTGAGAATGCTGAGGGAGGAAGGCTGGGGTTTAATTCAGTGAAGGTATCTTAGTGACATTTTGGTTTGGGTACCAGCTGCTGATCTGATAAAGTGACTCTGTGGAAAAAATGACTTTTTTTAAGTATGCTCTGTGTATATGATACCTGCTTGAATTATTAACAGCGCTTCTTCCTGCAACCTAACTGTGGGAAGAGGGTAGATCTGCTCATAGGACTTTTGGCAAAGTACTTGTGTAAAGAGGCAGTCTAGGAGAGTAGTGTCTGAGAGCCTCAGGGAAAGATGAATATCTCTGTACAATGCCGTCTGGAGAGTCTTTGCCTTCTGGTGTCAGATATTAAAGTATATTTTAATTAAAAAAAAAAAAAAAAGACTAAAACCAACCAGCCTCAAGGAAGTATTTATCCTTAGCACCCTCTTCTGGGCAAGTTCTTAGTGTCAGGATTTTGTAATGACAGATTAGAGTTCTTAAGATGTTTTATATTGTTTTAAATTATTTTCTCTCTTAGGTATCACTAATGTTCTCAGAAGCTTACAACTTCTGATAGAACAGAAGCAATTTCTTAATACGATGCCTGCCAACAATGTTACCGTGTGTAAAATACATTTTTTATTTTCCTCATTGTGGTAGATAGATTGCTTATTATTTTGTTTTGAATATTTTTCTTTATAACAGTTTATCTCATGTTAGATATTCTTCACATATCCTTATGAAGATACCACACATGTGACATTATACAGTTTTTTTAGCATAACCAATGAATATAGCAGAGACTACAATAAGAGCTGTCTTAGAAACCCAAGCACTTGCAAGACAGCTTGCTGTCATTCTAAGGGAAACAACATAGACCTAATTTCTTATTGCTTTTCTGTTGAATTACAGCTTTTTAGTTGTCTGCTTGTCATTTTCTGTGTATTTGGAATGCATAGTGATGAGTATTGGAGCCACTGAAGCGAACAGCCAGTGGTTTCTCAGTCGTACCTGGGAATCGTACTCTCTGTAAACAGTCCCTCTAGGCTCCTTTTGGTTAAGAAGGGGAAGCTTTTCCCCAGAAACTGTAGAAATTTGAACACATGGGCTTTATTTTGCCAAGTGTGCGCCTTTCTGATCTGCCAGAGATTGCCAGCTTGGCTGTTACATGGTCCCTTTTTGGGAATGCTCTGTGCACTGTGTGAGGTCGCGTCTGAGACTCTTAACCTGCTTCTGGCAAACGGGACATTACATGATCTCCTGTTTTGCTTTGTGCTGAGACTGAATTCTGCATCCCACGTTCTGGCTAAAAGAAGTGTCCAAGAGAAGGTTTTTTTTAAAAACAATATATTTTCCCAGAAACTTCTGTGCGAAAGCCAACTCCTGTGCATTCCTAGAAACTTACTTTCCCCTCGTTTATTATGGGAATTTAGAGTCATTGGAGCCATGCAATACTGATCGTTCCCTGATAGAAAACTCTCATTCCTTTTGCTAACGGTTGTATACTTTACATTGAGGAAAAGGTGGATGGGATGTGGTAGAACATGCTGATATGGTAAGGAGAGGTTTAAGGTGGGAAATGTGAGCACTGGAAAGACTGGTAAAGAAAGCCAGATGTATAGAAGAGAGATGAGTAAGAGAGTAGAAAAAGCAAGCAGTAGGCTAAATGTTTAGAAGTTAAGATCTTTACTTAGTTAATTACCTGCAGTGTCCTGTCTGGAGAAATGTTATGTTCAGGCTTGAACTTAACCTCCATGGTGAAAGCTGAGCACGGGGAAGAGGAGACAGCTGGGAAAAACCCACCCGGCATGAATCCTCAAAGCCTTGAAGGCATTAGGTACCATCCATGTGAAGAACCCAATGTCTCCAGTGCTTAGCTCCTGGGGTTGGCAGCACAGCGTGGCTGCTGTGGCTGCGTGGTTCAGAGCGCAGGTTTCTGAGGTTAGATCAGAGCAGCCTGTGCAGTGGGATATGGATCTGCTGGGAGAATATGAACTCCAAAGGGATACTGGCTGTTTATTATGGCCACCCCTCTATCTCCATATGGATGTCTTCCTACAGCACTTCATTTTGATCTGTGGCTGTGTTCAGGCAAGAAACTGAATGGTAACTATGTTTTAATTTGAGCTGTTAAGATGATGTCTCCCATCAGGAATCTTCAGTCACCTTGTGTAAGTGTGACTGATCCTCACCTTGACAGGGCTTTCTGCAGGACATGAAATACCTTCTGTATCTGACCTTGATGTTCTGAATAAAGAGCGTTGTGCTTGTAGCAGTCTGCTTTTTAACCATTTCACTTTGTGCTCTCTCTTCAGAGGATGTGCTGAGTAAAGATGCTGGGGAGTGTGCAATATGCCTGGAAGAGCTGCAGCAAGGAGATACTATAGCACGGCTGCCTTGCCTCTGCATATATCATAAAGGGCAAGTATTCCTCAGGATGCATATAGAATTCCAGAAGGTTGCATTTATTGGGTAACTCCTCTAAGGGGTGCTTAAAGGAGTACTAAAACTTAGTTACTTTTTACATTTAAAAAACAAACAAACAACAGGAGTTCTTAAATCCTTCTGCATCTCCACCAATGTATTTGGAGTCAGTTTTCCCTACTATAATCTTCTCATGCTTGCATGAAAAGCCCACAGGAAAAATACAGCAAAATCACCTGTATGGGAAAGGAGTGCATATCATGGCTAGGGACCTTAGGTCGTGTGTTCTGAAGTTTTGTCAAATGCTAATAGACTTGGAGGGGAGAGGGGAGAACACTTTTTAAACCTGTTTCATATTTGTTTTCACAAGTGTCTGTAACTACAGGAAATAAAAATGTCAATGAATTATGTAAGCAAGATGATAGTGTTAGTAGTGAAGTAACCTGTGTATAAAAGCTGGATAGTAATTTGTAAAATGCTTCCTTAGAAAATCTTAACACTTAAGAAATTTAGTTTTTCAACAGTGTTTAATATCCAAAAATTGCTGTGATTTGAGGTTATTAAATTTTCCAATGATGTGTGTGTATACATACACTTCTTTGTATAATATAAAATCCTACTAGTCATTGAAATTATGAGAAACCAATTTCTATTCGTGTCTTACTGCTAAATGTTACTGAGATATTCATGTCAGTTTTCATTTTTGTCTTGTATCCAACAGCTGCATAGATGAATGGTTTGAAGTAAATAGATCTTGCCCTGAGCATCCATCAGATTAAGACAAGATTCATGTTTTTAGGTAATATTTATTTTTAGATACATGCGTTTCGACAATAAATATCTTAATTATCTGAAATAACTCTTTATGCTATTTTTTTTAATTTGTGAATTTGCTACTCTGTCTCAGAACTGCAATATTAATCAGTAGGTATTGACGTATGTTGCAATATGTACAAGGTTTCTGCATCCTTATATGGCATGGTCTGAAACGATGTATTCCAGTTTTAGTACTGGAAAGTGGTAAGTCAGTGCCAATAATGCTTTAACATTAACTTTTAAAAAGTATTTTTTCCATGGAAATGAAACAAAATTAAAATAATGCAATTGTGTAATTTTTGGATTGTTTCTTGAGTACTGGCATTTATTTCTGACGAAAGGCTTTCGGAATCATAGGAAAAAAGTTTCAACTAGGTATTTTCAAAACCACTTTCATGTTAATGCATTCCAGAATGTTTAAAATATATAAATAAAAAAGTGAATATGTTTCTATCCATGCTATCTCACAGAGGTTCACATTTTTCCAGCTTATGTTTTGTGTTAATGATTGCAGATCTGCAATCTGTGTCAAAGGTTTAAAGATGATAGGTTTATTCTTTTAGTTGACTAGTTTGAAAACTTTATCTTGCATTAAACTATTGCTCCTAAGCATTGCAAAACACACCAACAATCATCATAATTCTTAGAGAAATAGAGATATCTGAACCCTGGTAGCTGAGGGTTTGGTTTTGTTGTTCTGACAGAAATTAAAAAAAAACAAAATCTGAAGACTTCATCATTTGCATTTATTTCAATATTTGTTTCATCTTGTTTCATGTGTCTGCGTTGCAGGTCATATTGCAGTGCTATGGTTGTTGCAGGGGTAGCAGAGAAAACCTGCAGGAAAGTATCCTGCTACAGGCATAATTTTTTAACCTCAGGGCAGTGTTAGCCAAAATTAATAAATACTTTTCCTATATTGCCCCCAACAAGTGAATTGTGGAAGAAGCCCACATGCTGTTTATGAACAGATTGTCTCTGTACATGTTCATGAGTGTTTTACCTCATGTTAAATCCAATTTGCCTTTTTTCACAGCAGAGATGGTGATAATTGGGGTCTTAGTGAAAAGGGGAAGGAAAACATGGTGATTGCACACATGCTGTTTGAGCGTGTTATCTACTGAAATTGCTGAAATGATGGTACTTTTGTCTTCTGCTTTTTCAACAGCTGCTTCCACTGATCAGAAAACATAGGAGATGAGAGGTTCCCTTGCTGAACACAGCGTGCCTGGCTTGAGACATACAGTTCTTTGTGGCTGAAAAAGGCAAAGATGGACAGTGACATGGAAAAAGCGTTGCAGGCGTCGGTTACTTGCCAGTAGTGCTCGGTATACCAAACACTCATGCAAAGGACACACAGGGATTTTGAAAATGCTGCACATTCTGTAACAATCGACTCCCCACATACATTACTGACACTGTTTTGTATCGAAGGCCAAAGTTCCTAATTTCAGCCTAACTTCTGGTTCTGTGAAGAAGCAGGTTATTGGACATGTTTCCTACTGCCTCAAGTGGAAGCGATGAGATGTTCGATACGTGCTATCTGAGACCCTTGCAGGAGGATGGCCCCGGTTTTGAGTGGGAACATTTTCACCTTTTTGTTGGCTGAAGAAGAGTAAATGGCAAACTAAATATAGTCTAACAGTGTGACCTTAATTTACTGAATTCACACCCTGTTTTACGTTCTTCACTTTTTTCAAGAACAGAAAACAAACTTCTCTGCGTAGGAATACTGTATTTCAAAGTTTTGTAACTAAACCTTTGTCACAATGCAGTCCAAAGAGTAAAACCAAGACAGGTAACTAATTTATAGTGATCAAACTATAGGGATTGTTGAAATCTGCACATTGTATTGCTATTTAAGTAACTAAAACTTCTCTTTTACTGCTTGTGAGTAAAAACAACAAAAAAATGCAGCAAAGCAAAATCTTACAGCTATGCAACTTTTTTTTAAATAGAAAAAAAAAAAGAATTACCAATTTTAAGTGCTGCCAGTTAAGGTAATTTGTTTAACGGGTATTTTTTTAAAAACGTTTCAGGTAATTATTTTATCGTACTACTCTCATGTCCAGGCTGCCTCCTGAGGTGTAAATGAATAACTGCAAATGTGGGCACAGCAAGAGAGTTTTTTACAGGCATAGGTGAGATAACATTGAGGTGGGATTTGTGTTTAATTTTTAAAATGCTTAGGCGCAAGTTTTTGTTTCCTTGTTTGAATGTTTTTTTGATGGCAGGATCTGTAGTACTTTGCATCTAAATCCTTGGTCTCTTCATCTGGAGACCAGCATTTGACAGTGTGGTTTTTTGTTTGTTTTTGTTTGTTTGTTTGATTGTTTGTGTTTTTTTTTAAATGCACCTGCATTTGTTTAATTTATTAATATTTTACTGTATTATATTGATATAACCAGAGCTCCATGAAACACAGGATGTCTCTGGGGAGTTACACCAAGTAAAACTGTGGATAAGTATCAGTTCCCATAAAGTATCACAGTTCAAAAACTAAGACAGGGAAAAAAAAAGACAATAAACTGGAACAGACTTCAGGGCTTAGAAACATACTTTTTATATCAAGAATTAATCATAATAGTTTCTGAATTTCACAGCACAGGAAAGAGTTTATGACTATTTATTAGCGACAGCATTTTTAGTGGGTTTCGATAGTGAAATTGCACAACACTTCGAACATTTTTCTTGTACATACATAACTGCTTTTCTTCTTTTGTTTAAGTACATATTTCTCTCTGTTGCTACTGTGATTCATATCAAAAAGGGCAAAGAACAGGAGCAACTGCTGCTATCTGGAGAACAAGTGCAGTGCATGTTACTAAACTCTCCTATCTTGCTTGCAGAGCAATCCTTGCCTGGATAACGTTTTCTCCTGAATGTTGCTCTGTAAAATGCCTTGTTATGCTGCAAATCTAAAGGAGTCCAAACTAGATCATCGTTGTAATTGCTGGTGCAGTTTCTACGTTTCTGGGCTTGCGTCACTGGTTTCAGTTGAACCTAACTATGGGGCCCTGTTGTATTCTCTTTTTCAGTGGGAGCAGAATCATTTTGTCACACCTTCAATTCTGTAGTCGCATCAAATGTACAGTCGTTCCCTGTACAGATTCCTTTTAAGTCGAGAGTATTTGTGTTGCCTTGTATTATCATGGGGGGAGGGAGAAAGGGCATGAGGAATTACAGCACCTGTAATACTCAAATAGTGGTGTTGCCTGCAAGCCCACTTTTCCAATGTTTTAAACTCCTGCTGTCTTATGAAAGTAAAGCTTTTGCATTTGCATTGATTTGATGTTTACTGTTGGCTTCATGCCTACAGAAACTCACCTGTAATAGCGTAAAGGGGGTAGGTAAGTGTTTAGTGTCCTGTGCTCTGAGGTCATAGATAGCCTTTGGCTTGGAGATTAAGTAGGTAAATATTATAAACATAAATCTGTTTACCACTTAAGCTCAATTTTGATGGTTCCTATTTCTAGTTCATTTACTGTTTTTTCAAAAACCTTAATTTTCTGTGTTCAGATGCAGGTAGCTTGTTTAAAGACCCAGCAGTTCTCACTGCTGTCCTACGTTTAGGACCAGCATTTGAAAAGCATGCCAGTGGCAATCACACTGATGCATGGTTTTGCAGGCAGGAGTCTGTTGCTGCTTCCATCAGCACGGTGGAGCAGCAATACCATGGATTCTATGAGGAACTGATACAAGGTCAGCCTTAGATCCTAGTTTGGCATTCTTAGTATCCATAAAGCTCTTCTGAAAGGCTATGGGAGATGTTCTTATATCAAAACTTGTAATATAGACCAAGCCTAGAATGACCCTGGAAGCATGAGAGTGATGCTTGGGTTTGAAAACGCCTGTGGAAATTCACCTACGTAAGCTTTCCGTCACCAGCTGCGTTGGTCAGTTGGTGATGACCATGCTGTAGATGTAGCTCTAGTCATAGGCAACACCTTCATTTTAAGAATGTCCCCATAGTGGTCCTGAGTCATTGTGCTTCAGAAGGGGAAAATAAACACCAAACAAGTCCTGTGTCTCAATCAAGGAATACCACACTTGTCCACAAGAAGCAATAACTTAAATTACGGTGCGATATGCTTCTTTGCCTGTAAATATCTTGAGATTGCCAATTCTGTGCTGTTTCAGAGTATTTTCTGTCATCTGGCCTATATCTTCCCTAAGTATGTAAGGGTGTGAAATAATTCCCATACTCAGGTCTGCCATAAACATGCTGCTTTGCCAGAAGGGGAAGAGTAGACTCAACACTGTCTTGAAATGTGAGATTTTTCTGAATTTGTAACATACCCAGGTATCTTGAGTAGCAACTTGTGTTTTGAAGTTGAAAGTGGAGGTGGCTATGAGTTGGACTGTATATAACCCTGCTCCATACAATACCAAGAGAGCCATGCTACTGTCAGCACAGGGCACCCATTGTCCTGCCTCTTATAAAGCAGTCTATCTGTAATGACACTTTCCTTTTGAAGGAGGTAGCTAATTTTCTTTCAACGTATACGTTCAGTGATTACTTCATTGGCACGTAAAAGCAAAAATACAAAACGCACTGCAAACTTGTGGTGTTTTATTTTGGGGAAGAATAAAGCGTAAAACAGATGGTCTTATTTGTAATCAATTTAACTTTCATATTCAAGGGTAAATATACTGCAGTATTTTGAAATGGAAAATGTGTAGGTAACGTACAAAGACGTGGGTGGATACTTGCGACCTTTTTTTCCCCTGCTCCCCCCCTTTATGATGTGAAGGGGGTTTTATGACTTAATCTCAAGATCTATAGATTTATCCTAGTTTTTAATGCTAGGAGCACTGGCTTTTTAATTGAATCTTTGCTGAAAGGCTGGAGAGCTGGTAAAACTGACTCCTGGAAGGCTAAAATCTCAGCAAATGTGGGAAAGACAATTTTTGTTCAGAAATGTGGATCTTTGGTGTTTCGGTTGGATAATGTCTAACACATAAGATGTTCTTATGGACGCTTCTAGTATGCTGCCTTTTCCGTGTGAAGGCTTCAGAAGCTTGCTCCATTTCTTGTGTTCCACTAAAAGCAGGCAACGTGGCACTTGAATGTTACTGCTATCTGTACATAAACAGCAACAAAGCATACGTTGGTTTTGATGTAGGCCATGATATCTCTGAGCTTCTGTGAATTTTAGCTGCTTTCCCATATCAAAAGAGAGTATTTGTATGCAAATTTGGTGTTGCTGTTTTGTACCTACTAATTTTGCTGTATGGTCGGAAGTTTCCGGCCAAGAGACTACCATATACCTGGGAATGCAGACGTGCTACTATGGATCTTCCAGCTCACCTTTGCCAGTAGAGGATTATCTCATTTTTTGATGAGTGCTCTATTTTATAATTCATTTTCCACCCTTCCAAGCTTAAAAGTCATTTTAGTATAAGTCTCTTCTCCTCTTCCTAGCTGAAGACATGACACATTTTAGGCCATATCCTCTCAAATCTTTAGACAGACTTTCCATTGGCATCAGCAAAAGTAACGTTAAGAGGTTGTAGGTGGAAAAGAAAGGCTTGTTAGGGGGCTTGCTACAACCCAGCCAAAAGTGTTTTTTCCTGCAGCAGTCTCAACAGTTCCTAGCACTTCTTGTCATTCAGAATACTCTGTGTGGGGAACTCACGACAGAATTGTGTCCAGTTTTTGTTTCCTAAATGTAAAACTTAAGTGATGTTTCTCCTCATAAGTTAACCTCCTCCTAAAATCAGGTAGGCGATGTTTTAGCCTGTTGGGGTGGAGGGGAAACCCAGTCCTTATTCTCAAGTTGTCTTAAGTTGCATTTGGTTATCTTACTACACAGTTTGGCTGGCTTCCCAAGCCACTGCGTCGTGTTCTGTAAAGTCATTTCTCAATTAAGTACGTCAGAGCTGACGATGGGATAAACTGTAAAATGACCTCACTGTTGGGGCATTATTAGTTGCTGAAGACTTGCTCAGGTAAACCACCATAAGAATATCCTGCACCTGAAAAGGCTGGACTTAGTTCTGTCTTTGATCTAATAAGTTGCCAGTGTACAAGAAGTAGAAGGCAGCAAGCCCGCTAGCTGATCTTTCTGGCAGCTTTTAATCTATGCGTGTTTGTTTGAGAGACTTTTGCCCTTGGGTGTGCTTTGGCAAAGATTTTGCAACGATAAGTAGGATTTGCTTGATTCTGGCAGAGTTTCCAGTGCAAGTAACCTGATGTTGCAAGAACATAATCTGTTGCTGATTCCCGTTCCTCTTGTTTTCCTTCAAATCTGTCCCTTTTATTGCTAATTTGTTAGGTTTAATAGCATACATGTCTCAGCATGACTGGTCACAAGCTCTCGAGGTGTGAAATGCTAACAGGAAGAGACATCAAAGCATGATTCTGTGCTCTTCCTCTATGTATTAAGATGAAGCTGAGGTATTTGTTACCTTACAGTCGAGAATTCTCTCCTAGCTAATATTGCCAAAGCACTGTAACTTTCAAGGAAGAAGGGAGGTGGCTTAGTTGTAGAGAGGGTGTTTTATACTGAACTACTTAATTTTAAAAGCTGCAGCATCGCTCTGAACGAGTGGTGATCCAGCATTAACCTTATCACTTGATTGCGAATCTCATTCTAGCTCTTCCTGCCCTTTGGCAGGCACCAGCTGGTAGGGAGCAGAGTGTATATTCCCCTTTTTCATATGCCTGTTCCACAGAGCTAACCCTGCCCACAGCGAGTTAGAGGGAACTCCGTGCTAGCTTCTGAAATGCCACCCATACGTGCAGTGGTAATGGGCAAGATGTCTTCCTTCATTACCTGGAGCAGAAATCGGAATGTAATTTG